TGAGATGGGAGAAGCAGTGGGACAGGCCCTAAAGAAGAAAGGTTCCCTGGTTAAGAATTTCTCTGTAGCCTTGGCATGACCAAGGAAACGAGTAACTGATACTTGCTCCTGGCTTGAGCACACACTACCGTCTTCTCTTGGCAGGTCTATCTATGACATGAGAAGTCTCTAGAATAGACTGCAGAGAATGCAAGGAGAAGAGGCTATGTTCTGTTTGGGGTGTTTGGACCCTAGGAGAAGGCAAAATGTGTGAGAAGTTCAAAGTAGTAAAACATCAGCATTATAACACCAGGCCAAGTGGCCAAAAGAGCTATGGACCACAGAAATCACTTCAAACGGCCTTGGACTTGAACAAAGCCATTGCATGTGATGATCACAGAACGGGGTGAAACCCAGATATCCACAAATCTGAGTATCTCTGAGAATGATGTGCCTCACCCTGTTCATTACTATTCCATTCCAGGGAAAGAATGAGAGGTCTGGAAAAGAGGGCCCATTTCACTTCTGTGACGAGAGACTTTATATACAACCAGAGATATGAAAAATTGTGCTGTATATATGGAATCAGAATTGTAATGCATTCTACTGTCATTTATTTTTTTTTTTAAAAATCAATAAAAAAAGTCATTTCTTAAAAAAAAAAAAAAGGAAGAAGATGATTCAGTGGAGGAGTTCCAGCTTCCAGCAATAATGGAATAGTTTGATAGCTGAAGATAATAATCACTGTACCTGGACAAATTATTCCCTAAGAAAACAGTAACCTGAAAATACTGCATAGTGACCAAAGTTATGCAGAAGATACAACAGATTCCCTGTGAGAGAGGAACAACAAGGGAGAGATTACTGAGTTTGAAACTGTTGTCTAAGGGCCCTCCCCAATATGTAGTAGATGATAAAAATTTTGCAAAAACAAACATATATATATATATATAAAACCATGTCCAATATGAAATCTTGGAGGCCCCTAATCTACCAAAGAAATTGAATTTGCAATAAAAACTGTCACAAAGTACATTTCAAACTAGTGAATTTTCCCATTTGATAAGGGACAACTATGCTACCATAATCTATCAATCTTTAAAACAGGTATGAAGATTATAAAAGAAACAAGATGTATCCTATTCATAGATGACATAAATTTTTATAGAAAAAAATCCTAAAGAACTTATTTTTTAAAACTAATGAATGCATTCAGCAAAATTTTAGAGTACACAGTTAGTGTACAAAAATCAATTTACATTTGTATATTTTTGCAACCCAAAACTGGAACACAAAAGACTCAATTGTTAAATGACAACTCTTCCCAAACTAAAATTCAGCTCAATCACAATCATAATCTTATAGGAATTAACAAGTTTATTTCAAAATTTATATGGCAATACAAAAGACCTAATAGAAAACAGTTTAGAAACAGACCCACACATATTTGGTCAACTGATCTTTCTACATAAATGAAAGCAATTTATGGGCAATAAGAGGAATTTTTAACAAACATTGCAAGACTCACTTAATATCTTATCAATAAGAAAAGAAACCCAAAGAACACAACCTCATACCACTCACAAAAAATTAAATAAAGGGTGATAGGAGCTAAATGTATAGGCTCTTAAATAGCAAATAATAAAATTTTACAAGAAAGCAGAAAACTATCATCATGAACTTGGGATAGAAAAACATTATGTATAATAAGAAAGCTATAAACAAAAAAATGATTTTTATTCTTTGTCAAATTGAAAACTTCAGTTCATCAAGACACAGTCAGGAAATAAGGGGGTAACCTGTAGAAATGTGAATATTCATAAAGTATATATCTAAGTCTCATGTCCAGAATACATAAAGAATTGTTAAAACTCAGCGGCTAAAAACATAAAGTAATAAAAATTGGGCCAAAGATTTGAAAAGACACTTTAGGGGAAGAAATACATTAGAAAGTGCTCTGCATCATTATTCTTCAAGGAAATACTAATTTAAAACGTGATGACACTCAAACTACCACTAGAATGGCTAAAAAAAATCAAAAGACTATAAAACACCAGATGAAGAAAACTATACTTTTGTATCTTCCTGGGATAGAATGTGAAAAGGTACAACCAGTATTTAAAAAAAGGTAATTCAATATATGCATGCCATTATATCCAGCAATTCAACTCCTAGGTATCTCACCAGGAAAAGAAGAAAATTTATGTTCACAAACATAATGGTTCAGAGCAGTTTTATTTATAAATAAAAACAAAAAGCTATAAATAACACAAAAGGCCAAGAACTGGATAATGGATAAAGAAAATGTGGCATATTCATACAATGGAATAATACTCAGCAACAAAAAGGAATGGATTACTTAGACAAGCAATGGCATGTATGTTTAAGAAATTATTCTGAGTAAAAGAAGCCAAACAACTTATGATTTCCTTTGAATAAATTTCTAGAATAGATGCAACTCTCTTAAAGGTGAGTAAAAATATAGTAATGATCACCTATGGGGGAAAGTGTTTGGGATAAGATGGAATTTCCAGAGATGACAGACATGTTCTATACCAGGAGAAAGACATGGTTGCATTGGTTATTCCATTTGTCAAATATGTAGAGCTGAGATTTATACATTTTAATGTATGTAAATTTTAATTCAACTAAGCAACTCTAAAACATCACTAAGGGAGTCAGACTGGAAATACAGATCATACAATAAAGGCAATGTGTTGAAAATTTCCAAAGCTAGATTATGAATGTATTATACTTTTTTTTTTTTTTTTTTTTTTGGTGGTATTGGGGACCAAACCCAGAGCCTCCCACATGCCAGGCAAGCATTTTACCATTGAGCTACATCCCTAACCCCAATTATACCCTTTATTTCATGTGTTTGAAAGTTTCCTTAACAAGGTTTTAAAACTGCACTGGAGTAATGAATTGTACTTTCACTTTTTGTTTGTAAAACTGAAAATAGGAAAAACCAGAACTAAATACCCTGCCTGTTATTTGAGCTGCTGAAAGGAAGTGGTGATGATTGTAGGAGGGAAGAGGGGAGAGGTGGTCAGGAGGGGATGTCTCCACAAGATCCTGGGAGGGGGGATGAGAGTAGGTAGGAAAATGAAAGAGAATGGAACAAATGAAGGCAGGAGTTGAAAGAAATGGAAAGGTCATGGGGCCACTARGTTCCTTGATTTATCCAAAAGAAGCAGAGGAGTGAGGACATAGAGGTTGTCTTGGGATGCATTTTTAGGGTATAGGGCAGGGTGTTGACTTTCCTAGTCAGGCCTGGAAAAACTCATGGCTGAGGTGGACCCTGAAAAAGATCACTCCTGTCAGGATTATTCAATGGACTGAATGTTTATACCACCCCATAACTCTGCGCCCGCCCCCCTCAATCCATTTGTTAAAATTAGAGGTAATTAATTACAGGTAGGGTCTTTAGGACATAATTAAGTCATATGAATAGGATAAGTGAGCTTGGAGACCAGAAAAGCTAGTGAGCTCTTTTCACTATCTAAGGACATGACAAGATGGCTTCTGTAAACCAAGGAGGGGCCTGTTCCTGATATCTTGGACTTCCCAGACTCCAGAATTGTGAGAAATAGATGTCTGTTGCCTAAGCCATCCAGTTTATAGTATTATGTTAGAGCCTCCCAAGTTAAGACAGGTCCACCTCTTCCTTATCTGAATTGTGTCCATCACAAAGCTACAGTTGAGTTAGACAAAAGAACATTTGTTTTATAGGGACCTTGAGTTCAAAGTGACACAGAAATGAAGCATCTTCCTCCCTGGCAGGCAGTGCCAGCCTAGGTTGTCCTTAGGACAGCAGGGGACATGCAGGAGAGAGAGGAGATAAAAACATAAGCCCACTATTCAACGAGCACACACCACTTTATATATTTTACCCAGGTACCCTGGGGGATGTCATTATCCTTGTTTCCAAGATGAAGAAACAGCTATAAAGGAGCCAGTATAATCAATTCCAAAGTCAATGACTATGTATCCATAGAAGGGCAGAATCTCTTGGGCTGTGAATCTTCTCCTGACACCTGTTCTTTGTAACCTCTCTAGCAGCCTGGGCACCACAAGGTCATGTGAGTTCTCAGAATGGGTTTCCCCAAGACCCCACAAACCTCCTCTAACTCCTCCCAGTACACCTGATGTTTCTTCATCTCCTGAAAATGAGCTCTTCTTTCCCTGCCTTTGTACTGATGGTTGGTTCCCCTTACCTGTTGTTCATCTTCCCTTTTCCATGTCTGATGCCTTCACAGCCCTCAGATCCTCTCCCCGAGGAAGGCTCCCCAGTTAGTCTTTCCTCAAGTTTCTAAGGAAACTTAATACCTAAGTTCTTGTTTGTTTTCTTCAGAGCAGTTATATAATTTGAGAATATTTTGTGTCTCTCCCTCTCCAGAACATATGTTCCTATGGACAGGCACCCTGTCTGTTTAGTGACAATTATCCATTGGAATTGCTTCTTGTCCCTTTTAAACACAAAGCAGGAAGGCTAACAGTTCGCCTGCTTTCTTGCAGTGAAATGTCCTAAACCATAAACAAAGAATAAAGCCTCTGGAAGGGGAAGGGGGTGGCTTTCTGCAGAATCACAGAAAAGCATGGCATTAGTGAAGACACTTTGTTTCTCAACTAGGTAAAGTTTCCTAACTAGGCAAAAAACTAAAACACAGATGATTATAGGTTTCTGCCTATAATCCTGAAGACAATCATGGTGACAGTAATGGTGGCCTTATTACATGCCTGGGACTTTATATACCTCTCTCTGAACTACCCTGCAAGATGGAGACCTACAAATGCATATGAGAAAACTATAAATTCAAAAGAGACCTAAGGTCATTCTATTGATAGTTCGACAAATGTCATACTGAATATATTGCAATCTTATTCTCTCAAGTTTTAGTTACAATGTTCTCTACATGGCCCATTTAAACACACAAACATATGTTATTGCATTTCTCCTACTGTCTCTCATCTCCTCCCTGGCCCGCGCCACAGTGGAATAATAACAAGTCTCCAAAATCATATTCAAATCAAATGGTAGATTTATTGGCCATCTCTGTTACACAATAGGTGAAAATATCTCAATTTAGGACATTCTAAACTTAACTTTGGCTTCCTGTTATGCTGAAAGACCAGGGCCAGGCACAAAGGCTGACAATCAGTGGACAACAGAAGAAAACTGCTGATGGTTCACAAGTCTACATGATTCATTCCACAGTTTTAGGACCTTTTTGTTTTTGTTCCTTTCATAGCATCTTCCTCTTTTCAAATTCCTTCAGAAACAGAAGAAAAGGAGGAGAGAGGGGAGATAAAAACATAAAAGATCCAAATTATATTCATGGTCAAAATGATTCTCAAACCTATTATCTTTAAGATCCTTTGAAGAACCAAATTACAAGAATTAAAATATACCAGAATGAGGGTGCTTAACACAAAAATAACAGCTTTCAAATCAGTCTATGTCAGCTTAAATCTAATTAAGCTATATGCAGAGCTTCAACTTTATGTCTCTCAACTCAGAAGCTAGAGAGAGGCTATAAATAATACTTATTTTTTCACTGGAGTGTTATTATTAGGAGGGGACAAACTTTGTTGTGTTTATCCAAGCCACAACAGGTCTTTTACTAAGGCTATGGAAACAGATTTGCTTACTTTCTCACAGAAGAAAATTAAGTAAAGATTCAGTTAGAATTGGAACAAAGTGTCAAAAACATTAGAAACACTTAAAACAGAAGAATACCTTAAAGAAGACTTTGTTTAAGAAAACAATACTGAAAATTACATTTTTCTAGATTGTAACAAATAGAACCAGATAAAATGTGTGGATGCATACTGCCACTTACTGGAGCAAAATGGTAACACACATCTCCAATGTGAATTTAAACATTTATTTTTCTCCTTTTCCTCCACTTTCAAAAAGAATTCTTCCCACACTTTATTAATCACCCAGACTGATTTCAAACACTATGGCACATAGTGTTATATTCCAAACGATAGGATATGAAAAAATTCAATACACAAGTAGTTCATAAAATTATCTCTAAGACAAGAGCAAAGAAGATTACATATAGTCAGGATTTTTAAACTCTATCTGAATATTGTTCCCTTCTGGGAAAACAATTTTTCTTGTTTTCACCATGCTTGAAAAATAGGGGTTTTGTTTTTTTGTCAAAGCTATAGTCCTGACAAAAACAAAGGTAGAGAAGCCTTAAATGATCACTCAAAGAAACAAGCTAATAATCACTATAGAGATTATGGAAAACAAAAGATCATTTATAATATTTTAATCATAATATGGTATTAAAAAGGAAAAGCAAAGAAAATGGTTTAAAAGTTATTCCTCCAACCCATAAGTGACATGGCATCACAGAACATCAAGGCCAGAAATGAGAATCTGAGTCTCCCCACTCTCTTCTTTAGACTTCCCTCCACCCCAGCTCCCTCTTTATAGTTTTAGTTTCTTGTTACTCAGCCTTCAGCCCCTCTCCTTGGAAACAGAAACAATAAAACAATATGGGGTCAGGTGACTATAACCTAAAGGCTCTCCTTCAGGGGAAAAGAAGAAGAAACATAAGGCAGTTTTCTACACACACTCTCTCCATTCCCAAAATCATGGGAATGAAGAATTCATGGCACTCATGGCCTCCAAAATGTCATTTTTGCATGTCATATCTTATTGTTTATAGAACAGCATATCCCAATATTTAAAGAAGATCAATTTTTAAATGAGAAAGTTTCTTACTTAGGGGATAACAACATTAATAGAGTGCAATTAGAATGAAATAAAAAATTAAGACCCAGAAGAAAAGACCATGATTTCCAGGCATCCAGTGTTGTCCCACACTGAGAAGTCCCATAACTTCAGAGCACTTGGGCCATTATCAGTACTCACCTTGTAAATGGTGGTGCCCAGTTGTGCAGGAGACATGCTGACTACAACTCCTGCACTCTGAAGGGCAGCAATCTTCTCTTTAGCTCCACCTTTTCCTCCAGCAATAATTGCTCCTGCGTGACCCATTCTCCTGCCCGGGGGAGCAGTTAAACCAGCAATGAAGGACACTACAGGCTTGGCATTTGGACCCTGCAGAGAAAGTGATAATGGTAAATAATTTAATGAATAAGTTAATCAAAATCATGACTCTGTTGGCAAATGGTAAAAGCCCCTCATTCATTCTAAAAAAAAAACAAATACAAATACTGAACTATAATTGAAACCACTATATGCTTCTTAAAGATGACTCAACTTTCCAAACAAACTCAGGAAAATAATCCTGATCAAATTTTTATATCTGTTGAATATTAACAGCTTCGCTGGCATAAGCTGGTTTTTTAAAAATTATTATTTTTAGTTGTCTATGGACCTTTATTTTATGTGTGGTGCTGAGAATCAAACCTAGTGCCTCACACATGCAAGGCAAGTGCTCTACCACTGAGCTACAACCCCAGCCCCATAAGCTGTTTTACAAATATATATATGAATCTTTCATTTGAAAAACACGGGAACATACCTGAAAATTTATTATATGACTTATAACAATAATGATCTAAGACCCAAGATCGGTTTGCCTTATTTTAATGGAATTTTATGTCTCAATTTCTTTTTAGTTAATGCTTAATAAATGTGTAAAAAAAAAAAAGTGTGGGGGGGATACACTGGTAAGACCTAGGACTCAAGATTCAATTTCATATTGACTAAAGTGGATTGCCCTTGGATAAGACACATCACTTCTCCAGACCTCTGCTGCTTCATCCAGAAATAAAATGGCCAAACTAGATTGGTGGCCAACAACCCTTTCCACTCAAATTCTATAGTGTCTAAGAAGGAAGATTAGGATTGGTTTTATTCAACAAAAATCCATTTTAATGTGCCACCTCTGTGCATATATCACTGTACTAGATTGAGGTTTAAAAAATGCATGAAAACTTAAGAATTTCTGGGCTTTGAACTTACAATATAATTAAAGAAATGATATTAAATAGGTTTTTCATATTCATCAGCCAAGAAATGACATACAGCAATGTATGAATATATGGTTAAATTTTACATCGAATGATGCCATGTAATAATACTTACTATCTTAGAAATTAACACTCAAAACTTACAAGTATATTTCAATTCATCTGAAAAAATAACTTTTTAGAATGGTATTAAAAACATTCTTGTGAGAAGAGTGGCATTTAACAACAATTTTGGAACTCCTGTTTAATAAATGACAAATGATACTGCTTTTGCATTCAATCTGTTATAAATGTTATTTTAGTTGAATTATTTTAGATGAAAATCTGGCCTCACCCAGATATGCAGCTGAAAATGGGAGAAATATTTTAATTGCTTTACAGATAATGGTGGATATTCTTCTTTGATATTACACACTTCTATTAAAACGGCAATTTTTTAAAGGTTAGATGCAATGTTAGAATCTGACACCATAGTAATGAACTTTTTGTCCTTTGTTATTTTGAAATCTATTAGTCTGTCTTGTATTTTGAATAACTCTTCTACTCACACAATTTTATAGCATGCATTAAAAAATGCATGAAAATGTAAAAATTTCTGGGCTTTGAACTTACAATATAATTAAAGAAATGATATTAAATATGTTTACATATTCATCAGGTGGAAAAATATCCTATATGCTGACATACTTCATTATTCAGTTTCAACAAATCACAGCCATCGTATCACTACCAATCTCACTGGGAAAGCCTTTTCAGTAAAGGGAAGTTACTAAACTTCCTGATGATGGCAGGTAGAAGTTTTCCAAAATTTTAATATTCATTTGAAAATTCAAATTTTATCAGTACCCCCAAATACTATCAGTTGTTTGATAGTATGGTAAGTTTGCTTTGTTTATTTTTGAGAAAACTTCTGCCAAATAACCAAGTCTGAATAACCAGTTTGTTTGTTGGTCATCTTTTCAAGTAAAATTGGTGTTCCTTAAAGCAGTTCGTTTAGTTCACAGCTCAATTGCAAGAAAACTTCTTTCCTATCTTGTCACAAAATACTGATGAGGACCAAGATTTAATAAAACCAGTAATTTTTATTGCTTCATCAAAAACTTCTTTTAATTAAAACTTTTTAATTTATTATTTTATTTTTAGAAAAATGTATCAAATGAAACAAAACAAGTACATTTAGCTTTTTTTTCCTAAATTCTAAGCTACTCCACAGATGCAGAGTTAGGGAGATCAAAGATGGTGGATTAGAGGAAGCCCATATAATCCAGTCACTCTGTCTTGAGATTTATGCAGTGGAAGTACTACTTCTCAGGAAGGTGGGTGATGAAGAAACTCACTGAAATTCAATAATGGATAGAGAAGCATAAAGACCCAGAAATGCGAATTATCACGGAAGATGGCGGCGGGGAATGAGTAAGCCGCTCTGTACTCCGCGCCACCGCCACGCCACCGCCACCGCAGCGTATGTTGCTGCTTCTTAAAAGAAGAAGTAAAGATCAATAAAGGAGATCTGTCGACAAGGATTCAGCACCGTGTCAAGAAAAGGGCCTAGATGGAGTGAATCCGCCACGACTTCAGCGCGAGCAGTAAGGCTGCAGCCCCCGAGCTGCCGGGCTCCCTGGGCCCCTTCTCACTCCCCTCTCCGCCTCTCCGCTTCGCTTCTC